TGTGTGTGTTCTGAGGCACATTACGTGTGTGTAGATATTTTTCAAAGGATTGTTGTGTGTGTGTGCTCTTTGTAAATTTTCTGTTGCCAAGGACACTCAAACTTTGAAAGTCTATGCTCTTACGGGCGTACAGATATTTGTGAGGCAGCGTGGTGGAATCAGGCTCTCGTCAAAATAATAAAATTGAAGAAAACAGCAGTTTTTTCCCTGCTTAGCAATTTTTATCAAATTGTTGTTTTTTGGCTCAACACCTTTTATGTCCATTTACAAACACATTCCTTTGAGGATTTCACCGAGAACGTTGATTAAAGGCGCAAAAATATAAATTTACAAGTTCCATGGACTCTCCATCTTTGGAATTTACCAAGCTTTGGCCGCCATTTTCTCGATAATTTTACCTCTTAAATCAGGTGACTCCCACCTCCTTCAATCCAAAATATCTCCACTTCTATTGAAGAGGAATGGGAATTTTTTTCATTGAAAGAAAGACAAATGAACAAGCTTTAAGAAGAAACCAATAACTCAATATGCCCAAAAATTGACGAGAGCCGGACTCCACCACGCTGCCTCACAAATGTATAGGCCTACCTCATTTTTCAATTTAAACAGAAATAGATCTGAAAACAATCTTGTGCGAGACTCTTTAATTATAATATAAACCCCCCACCCCACCCCAACCTCCTGAACAAAATATAAAGTTGTTCCTGCTTCCGATACCCGGACATTGGGGATTGCCTTGTTAGTAAGACAACTCCCTGGGCCTTCGGCATATTGTGGTAGGGTGGCCAGTTCCTTTCCACGCCGCCTTTACTTCCTCAACTGAGAGAGAAATACTATCTATGGGGGTTCTCGTGACCTAGAGGTTAAGGTGTTCGCCTCTCATTCAAAGGTTATTTGTTTATTTATTTATTTATTGGAGGAGGGGAGGGGCAAGTGGTTTGTATTGATACAGATGATATTTGTATTTAGTCAGCTGTTAGAGTTTATTCATTTACATCGACATTCACGCTTAGTCCGCCAGGCCCCGCCCCGTTCTTCTCATCACTCCCCCCCCC